GGAAAGAATACAGTAAAAAAGATACTGCACCGGTGTGTAAAATGTTTTAGGGCAGGGCGAAGCCCACTGGCATCAATTACCTGATGGGTAACCTACCCTGCCTGCTCCACGGGTAATTCCCACTCGACCTTTTAGTACCTGCAGCGTGGATTACAGAGAGTCCCACAGAGTCCAGTTTCATTAAAGAAAAAGGGACGAAGTCGCGTAACATACAAAGCGTATTTTCGTATATTTGTATGTTTTCTAACGAAAGCCGTTCATATTCAGCTCGCGACAGATCTAAGCATTGACGCGTTCCTCAACTGTCTACAAGTCTACATCGATTTATAGCACGCAGAGGTCAAATTCATAGCATATATTTTTCATGATATATATATATATATATATATATATATATCTTCTCTTATATGTGCCAGACATAGCTGTGTAATTTTATAAATTTTAAAGTCTAGAAATGTTGAAGTTTATAATGCTAAACGAGTTTCTTATAGCATCATCATATTCAATTTCTTTGCATTCATGGATCTGACATAAGGAGGATGTATAATATACATGTATGTACACCCGCGAGCAAACTCTGATTCCACTAGGGAAACAAGTGGCGTAGGGAAACGGCTTAACATGACGTAAGAACGTAAGTGAAAAAATATATACTTTTCCGTTTAATGTTTCATGACTGTCATATTTATCCCTTAACCTTAAACTGAAGCATCGGATATTTTTATTCTCGTGAAATCATATAGATACACGTAATATAACACTTCATTTGTGCTAATAATACTAAGAATTCATGCTTTATCGGTAACGTCGGGTATTAACACTAAAGTGGTAACAGGGCTACGTAGCCCTATGAACGTGGGACAGAAAAAAGCATTGGATGATAGGTCTATTCTATACCTAGTCGGTGGTATGATTAAATAATGAAGTAAAAAATTTTCAGAACATTTGATTGTAAAAATAATGTATTTATTTCCTATTACCTTGCGTATGAACACCAGCGATCTCGAAGCTAAAACGAAAATTGATCATAAATATGATGTACTATTCAGAAATTGATAAAAAAATTTTGAAAAACAGTAGTTTTTGTTATAGTCTCCACTTTTGTGCGTCTGTGGCTATGCCTACAATCAGTTCTCGATTCTGAGAGTAAGGAATCGATTCTCGCAAAAATCGAATAGCAGAGATCGATTCAAAAAATCGATTTTTTAAAGAATCGAATCGGAATAGAACATCCTTGATTCAGACTATTTTCAGACAATGGGACAAATTTCAATTCAAATTCTTATACCAGTAATCCAACTATTCGTTATTAATGTGCCCCCATCACAACTATAATAATATTAATTCTAATACTATTTATATATTACAACTTACTATTGAATTAAGGTTTTAATTTTAAAACACTGTAATGAACTTTCAATGAGATATGGGGATATTAATCATTGTTTATTGTCAATCACTATCATTAATACCATTAAATTAATAACTCTAAATATAAAAATAATGCAGCATATTTCAGACTTTGAAATATATATATTTCAAAAAAGATACTGAAATATATAACTATATGGAATAAATTAGAGAGATATATTAAAATAAAAAATCTTAAATCTGTTTGATTTCACCACTGCAATGAGGACAACAAGTTACATTTGTATCATGTCGTGGAAGAAATACTTGACCACCAAGTGCGACAGCAGCACCCATCACTGCACTACAAGCTATATCCTGCCTTCCTGGCATGAGCATTTTTGGACTCATAAGCAGCTGTATGTAAATAAAGGAAAGAAAATATACAAAAGATAGTAGTCAAATTAATATGAACATGGGGCATAACTCAGTTTACAATAAAGAGAAGCTTACTTGCTCTGCAGTCTTTTCAGAAAGTGTTTTCATATCCAGACCAGTTACATTAATTTCTCTTTGCAAATTAAGGTTTTCTACACCACTTAATAATTGAACTTTCAAAATTTCTGCTAACTGACAACAACCTTGACCTAAGTCAACAATATTTGTACTTGGTAATTCATGCCATTTAGAAGAGGCAGCTCCAATAGGATCAAAGTTTTCACGAAGAATACTAAGTGTCCTAGAATGAGAAAATACCTTTGTATAGAATAATGCTTACAATTATTTTACACATTTTCATTACATAAACATACCTATATGTTTTCAGAGATATGTCACGAATGTGATTACGATCTTCTAAAAGCCGTTTTATTGCTTCCTGAAGATCTGTTGTTCTTTGACAAAGAGCTGCTTTCCATTTTGCAAGTTCTTCTACTATTAAACTATTACAACAAAAAGTTATAATGATAACAATTAGATATTATGTAAACATTATAAAAATAGAAGCTCATTATTAGTATTACCCAGATCAGAATTCAGGTTTATGATATACAATCATTTATTATAATCCTCGTGAGAGATGATCATAGATGTAAATTTTAAAACTATTTGTGATGTGAATACATTGCTTGCATAATTTATTTTATTTATTTTCATTTACCTACTGGCTAAGAATTTACTTCTCCACACTTCACATTGGCCAGCCAACCATTCAGTTTGTTCTTGATGAGTTGAAAGATGTTGAGCAGAATTTAAAAGGGCTCTAGCAAGTTGTAATTTATCTTCAGTTAACAAATGAACCTTTGTTTCAAGGTCTTCACCTACAGCAGCTACTAATAAATTCTTCAATTCCCCATTTACCTAGTTAAATAAAATATTTTATATATTTATGACATTTTAGACTTTATTTATTCTGTTTTTATGTATGTATTATTTTTATTTGTGTAAAAATGCTACAAAATTTACTTTATGTCATTTGATGGAACACTATCAAAATTGCAGCAAAATAAAGTAAGTAGTCTTTTTATGAATACAAATATTACAAGCCATTTTTATTTGATTTCATTTGAAATTTACACATATGTTCAGAATATGCTTATTGTAAAACTTACATTAAAATTAATTAGTAAATATGTAAATGTGTAGAACAATTTTCATTTTAGTAAATAAAGTAATTGTGCTCTTGTTGTTTTATTTTAATAACTATACATTTTCTAACATTAAACCAACTTGATAGATAAAAGATTATACTAATACCTGTGCTTGAAATTTTAATTGATTTTCAAGTTGACTATTTTCTTCTTTGAGTTTTTGTATTTCTGCTTCGTATACCTTCTTTTCTCTTAACCATTCACTATCCATAGGTTTACGTTCAATTGTTTTAATGACCTCAGTAGTTGGAACTTCTATTTCATGAATTTTTATTGCAGCAACTTGGGATGCAGTCACATTCATGTTTAAATTACTTTTTTGTAATTTTTTATTTTTTTTCTCATATGGAATGATTGGATTAACTGCAGCTTTATATGGCTCATAAGGAACAAATTTTGGTTCCTTTGATTTTAATGAATTTAAAATATACTTTTCATCTCTAACATTAGAAACATGTTTGGGTACTAAGTTTATAATTGGACCATTTGGAGTAACTGGTGGAATTGAACTTAATTGCTTAAGATTTGTTGGATGATAGATAAGTGTATCACCAAGACGACATTTTGTTGGCTTGACCTCAGCCTTTTGCAATATCACATTCTCCATACCATCACCTTGTGTACGTCCACCACAACCCATTGTTCGTACATCTTAAATAATAGTTACATTGTACTAGTAAGTAATTATCAAAGACAATAATATCAATGTTATAAAATTTAATATTCAACATGTTTCATTATGTTTCTGTTGCCATACATTGTACTATATTTGATATAAGTTATATATATATATATATATATATTGTATGTAAAAGATGTAAAATATTTTAATGCTTTCATAATAATGACATTGGAAAACTATAAACATATTGTCATAGTGTATTACAATACTGGCATTATTTCTTATACATTTAATTTAAAATAAGTAATATTTTATTATAAACACAAATATTTTTTGTTTAATTTTTTATATACACGCACAGTTATAATTCCAATTGTTTAACATTACAGATAATATTAAAGACATTACAAAGATCGTACAAAGTGAGTCATTAAATAATAATCTAACCTTGTGATTTAATTTGTGCTTCGTCTTTCGTTGAATTTGAAGCAGTTGCCATTTTATATCGCGTTATTTATACTTATTTACTTTTAATTCTATTCCTTGTCGAAATAAAATGAAGAATTTGTAACTATTTTTTTTCCATTACTACTGATCTATCATTTAGTTAGATAACACTTGTAAGTAGTAGCCCAATTCCCACATGACTACTCCTTCTATGTATATATGTATGTACATACATGTATGTATATTAGGTATGCATTTAATGGAGGTAGAAGAAAGTGAAATTTAATTATTCACATGTATTTTATGATACAAATGATAGGAGAGTAATTAGAAATCAATTTTTATTTAATAAAACGGAAATTAAAATCGTCACACCTCCAAATGTTAAATATAAGGCGCATATTAATGTTATGTAAAATAATCATTAAATAACAGTGCAGAAAGTTCTGTATAAATGTTCGGAAAGATCTATCATATATCATCTCCACTACTGGGTGGAGTTCTCCTTTAGAACCAGTCAAATGGGTAATGCAATAGGCTATCGGCTTCACTTTCACGAGCCGAAAGTTGGGATCCAAAACCAAAGATTAAAAGTTTGCGTATCGGCAATACTACTTTAATACTGCGATAAAACTTTTTATAATTTATAGTTAATGGAAATTTTATTAAAATATTGGTGCAATTTTTCCATTGAAATGAGATCAAGCATGACATAATTTGAATTATATTTAATAAACGTTAATAACTTATTTTATTATCGCTTCTAATAAACTACCAAGATAGGTTATTAGCCACACTTAAAATATTAATAGAATAAAATTTTTAATATGTAATAAATTGTAGTAGTGTGAAATAGTACAAATTTCTATTTATAATAATATTAAATTGTAGTAGTGTGAAATAGTACAAATTTCTATTTATAATAATAATTACTTTGTATTTTACATATTTTGAACATTACATTACCACATGTAAACATATTTACATTACAACAATTACATATTTGACTGAAAAATGCATTCTAAAATCTTCCTTGATCATTTGCTATCCGTCATAGGTCGTTCAATTGCAGAAATGCACTAAATAACAAAGAACATACATAAATTATTTTGTCAATGATTAATATTCAGGTACATTGTAAATTTATCAATGTATAAGTACTTATCTTGGATAACATGATGGTGTTCTTATATAAGGCATAGAATTTTGCATATCTGTAGTTGTGATATGCAGATTTATTTTTCCAACCCTCCCTTGATGTCCTTGCTTATTATTAGTCGGTGTTACCTAAGAAAAACAGTTTTAAACCTGCTACTATTGCATGTACACAACGTGGTGCTCTTGCACTGTGGTACATTAAACGTTCAAATAAATGTTTCAATTCATTTGTATCATTTTCATGCTGATCTCCCAGATCAAGTATTTCTTCCTTTAGTTTATGTTTTTGACCTTCACTGTCATTGTTTCCTTTTCTTTCATATCTTTCTTCTTGGAATAATTCCTCTTGGGTAAGAATTTTCCTTTTTACTCCTTTAGGTGCAGAGAGAGATTCTATGACTTGGTCATGTTCTTGCTCTTCACTGTTACTACTTCCTTCTTCTTCTTCAAACGCTTGCCCTTGCATAAGAGTTCTCCTTTTTGTTCCCTTTGATGCAGATAATGATTCTGTGGCTTGGTCTTCCATTGATTCTTTACCATGTTCATGGATTAAACGTATGTTGTGGCGTTTTTTAAAGTTTACAAGCCAGCCTTTGCTCATTCTGAAATCAGAACATGATGGCATGTTCTGTTTCAATTCAGCAGCTTTCTCTAACAGTAAAGCATCTGTTAGTAAATCACCAAGTGTTCTTCTTTCTACAAACCATTCAAATAAACTGTTCTCCAGTTCTTCGTACAATGGTCTTCTTAATCTTCGTCGTTGTTTCTGCTTCTTACTCTTCTCTGCAAATTCATTAATAGCAGCAGCGTTTTGTCTTATTCGACGAACAGTTGCGGGGTGTATGCGATATTTTTCAGCAATAATTGCAACAGGTTGTAATGCTTCCAATTCTCGTAGAATATCCAGCCGTTGTTGCATGGACAGATTAAAACATTTCCTTCTAGACGCCATATTCATCACTTCAAACTAAACCACTACTATACTAATAACTACCGCTAATAATATTTGTATTATTAGTCAGGTGTGTAATTTTCGCACCTAACTATCGAACAAACCGTAACAAAATCTTTCAATAATGAGACCAATAAAAAAAACAAAAGAACTCTTATTTCTCTAAGAAAATTAAATTTAAAACGATGTAAACGTATATTTCTGAAACGTCGAACAGTTATTTGTGGTTGTTTCTCTCACACTGCGTGTTGCATAGAAACTGTACCTCTGTGAAGTTAGCCGGACAATTATGACTTTTAACGTTTCATTATACTCAATCGATTGATGGTCGATTGCTGGTCATTGGTGGCCTAATTAGAACATTTGATGGTCACGCGTTTTTTGTAATTAGGTGATCAAAATTTGACCGTGAAGTTAGCCGCAAAAATTTTTTTTCCGCCGGATTCAGTTTTTTAAATGCTCAATCGATGCGTAGTCGTTTAGTGGTTATTGATGGCCCAATTACAACATTCGTGATACTTAGTTTCTATAAAAAACGAAAAAAACGATGTAGTCATCTGGCATTTCAGGATACAGGTGTACCAACGCACGTTTAAAGTCGATAAAACAAATATTTCTGGACGGATTGTCTTTTCGGATGAATCAATCGATGTAGAAAGGTGTGCTAATGATTGGTAACCTAATTGAAACATTTGGTGGTCAGTAATTAAAGCAGAATATATGAAAATTCGTACCTCTGCAGTACGGCAAGCATCGAAACCTGGGATTGGTTGAGAAGTGAATATAGGAATATTGAAATACATTTTGGTGGATAAAACTTATATTTCTTAACCGATTTTGCACTGCGAGGGCTTAGTCGAAGCAGAAACACCTTCCCCTAATTGGTAGCCCAATTAAAACATTTGGTGGTCAAGCGACCTTTTGTAATCGGCGTCAAACTTATGAAACCTTTATGAAGCTTTGAAGACGGTACAAAAGATTTGCAAGTTACAGAGGAGGGAATTATTTGCGGTATATAAGTTACAATATTTTATAAGCCTGAATAATATCTAAGCCTACTTTTTCTGAATTTATATAAATATCATTACAAGTATATTGTAAAATCATGTAGATAAGTAGGATTTAAGTAAAATATGATCTAAAGGCACTTTTATTGAATCTATACAAATATTGTTATAAATATATTGTAAAATCATGTATGTAAGTAGTACTTAAGGGAATTGTTGTTAAATTTATAGAAATACTACTGTAAATTGTATATTTTCGTACGATGTTTTCAATAAAAAACAGTCAAATCGTACATATGCGTTATTCATTAATCCCGGCACTATCTCCACTTCTATTTCTAATATCAATTAACCAAAAAAATAATAAGATATAATAAATAATAAAATAATTAATTCTAAAACTTTTAAATTTTGGAAGAAGTTCTGGAATTAGTTCCAATTTCTGCCACCAACTGGTGGGGGCGGCACAAACGTGCAGAACTCGGTGGGGGTTCTGTGCCCCCGCCGTTTCCCGCCATCATGGATTCAGAAAAGTGCCCACATTTTTTGGGGATTTTATGGGACATTTAGTGGCGCCCCCACTGCGTTGGTGGCGGAAATTGGAACTAATTCTAAAACTTTTTAGGCAGCGCCATCTGGTGGCGCCTTTGCGAACTATCGAGATGTTCTGGTTAGTTTTATACTAGTTTTATCCACTTTAAACGTGAGTTGGTACACCTGTGTCCTGAAATGCCAGATAACTACATCGTTTTTTTCGTTGTTTATAGAAACTAAGTACCACCACCGACGAGGTATAGGATAGACCTATCATCTTATGGGACTTCGTGTCTCATGTTCTGAAATACCAATAGTGTAAAAAGTCAGGGATTTTCTGCAGCCCTCTATGTTATGAGAACGGTGAATTTGTGAACTACGTTAAATCTAAGAAGAGACCATGGTCGTGAACGGATTCTCTTCCGTTCGTTCGCTATAAAGTAGACGTATTAGAAAGGAGTCTTGTGTTCCAATCCCGACGGACCTATATTAGGTTTTCTTCGCGTACAAAAAAGTTATTGCGTTTAATATTGTTTTTATGGATATGTATATGTATTATTATGTACATTTGAGTAAATTATTTTATTATTCCATTGTTATTACAACAGTTTAACAGTGACAACGAACGCATGCATATTTTCAAATATCGGACTAATAGTATATTTTTATTCTATATTATTACATATAAGTGAGTAATACGTATCAAAAACGTAATCGAAACACAGATTTTTATTACACCACAAACATCGCATAAAGATATTTCGTTATATTGACATTTGTAATAATTATGGATGTTGGAAGGAAATCAATATTATTGAAATTATGGAACATATAACGAAATATCACTGTAACACTTAAAAAAGTTTTAAAGTTTCATTTATATCATTCATCAGCAGCATTCATATTCCAATCAAAGAATTTACAAAATAAGGAAAAGGAATCTAAAGTAATTTTCAGTAGTTCCATACATCTTTATCT